GACAAATATGAATATTTCAAGCAGAGAATAATGAATGCAATTATTATCCTTTCTTTGAGCAGTACAAAATAATACTAAATATGCTTCTTTCTGTCATATTCTATCACATAAGCCAAGCTGACCAGTCTCGGTCCTGCAGTTTGACCGGAACCGGTTCAACCGGCCGGTTGATAAGTCTCGACCGGACCGGACCGGACCGATAACCGGCGCCCGATCGCCCGGTCCGGTTGCATCTCTGGCAATACGTTCGTCACGGCAGAGGACAATTAATCGACCACCGGCGGATCATTCACTAATAATTCGTTTAGCCAGTGATTCTTTCTGTACCGTCAGTTTTTGTGCGTTCATGATAATCAAAACTTTACAAGTTAGCGGAACAGATGAAACGACTGATATTTCGATAAGAAGAGGTAAAGAATATGAAATTGTATGTAATAAGTGACAGCAGAAAGATTTTATATGAATATGTCATTGAGTACTCAATGACATATTCATATAAAATCTTTCTTCATAAAAAACTTCCAAGTCATTATTAGCAATCAGATATAGTTATCACTCTCAACGATAAACGACAGGTATAAATCTGTTCCATTTTCTATCTTTTGAGATATAATAAAATATCAAATAAAGTATAATATATATATAATAAAATTATAATAAGAGCAATGTATTCGGACATGAATATGTTATACGTATATTATATGGTTTTAAAATGTTTCTTGAGCTGCATCATATGGTGCAGATAAAATAGAGTATACTGTGATATTCTGACGTGATTTTCATCGGTTTTGACTGAGTTATGAATTTTTTAATTTTACACGAAATTAGGCAATAATGGGTCACTTCATCTATATAGCGTTATTAACTAGTATATGCGCTTAAGTAATACCCTAGTTTTGCGTCTGCGTCGAGATTTTTTCACCAAAAGTTCTTTGATTGATGATGCGTTGAATGTCATTTGACCAAAAAAAAGTTTAGGAAAAAGTTCTAGTGAATCAACAACGTATGTCCTTTTTATGACAAAATTACGGCGATAATACTGAAGAGTACGAAAAATGATCACTTTTAATAGGCCCCAAAGTTCAGACGTCTGACGCTTTGTATCGAAAGGTTTTCAAAACCAATTTTCAATAGGAGGAACTCGTATACACTCTTTCAGAATCTGTGATCAAAACCGAATTTTGAAATCGAAAAGGTAGGAGGTATATCAGAAAAACGCGATTTTCTCATGGACTGTTTCTTAAACTGTTCTGAGTTTTGGATAGATGTGGAAACCTTTGGAACAAGCTTTAAAGTTTTCGTTTTTTTCCCCAAAATTCTTCAAGAGGTCAACGAAACATTTTCTCCTAAATGGAAACCTTTTTGAGTTTCGAAAATGAAACGCTAAACCTCTAAGAGTTTAGACCAGCTTTATGAACCTTTTTTGGTTTTTTTAAGTAATGGTTTCTTTTTAGAGAGCTGTGTTACATCTTCCTGCTTTAGAAGACGTATGGAGTTAAAATAAATTCGCGACACTTTTCCAGCTGTCTTTGACACGTACAATCACATTAATCCTTTTTATACAAAAAAAATATATTACAAGGTGTACAAAATAACTTTTATAAGAACTTGACATCCAAAAAGAAAGAGAAGATCTAAAAAAAACAACTTTCGATAGTAAAGCTTAATGGATGTATATGTGTAAACATGATGACATATTTATTTATGGTTGTTGTGTAATTAAAGTTTCGAGCTCATCAGCCGATCGAAATAGATACGTGGCAGCTTCGCGATAAGCATTGACCAATGTTTTCAGTGAACCTATTTCGACGTTATTTAATTTCAGTTTTGATAACGGATATGATTTCATATTTGGTGTTTCAAGCAATTGAGGACCTGCAATAAAGAATAACATCATATGCCAATTTATAGTAAAGATTTATGATAAATTTGGTTACCGTTCGTTAATGACTGTGATGATATGACAGTATGAAGAGGAAGTGGAGATGTCGATTGAAGAAAAGAGGGGCGAAATACAGAGTTATTACCATTAAAATATGATGTCAAATCGTGCGGACGAAATGGTTGTGGAAATGCATGACGAAGAAAATCTGAATCTAAATTCAGTGATGGTGATGGTGAATTAACAACAGTAATACCATTTTTAGAAGAACTATTATGTATGATGTCATTCTAAAATAGATATCAGAAAATTAGTTTCTTAATTTAAAAAAAAGAGACAATATTTTCTTACTTTATTATTGGGTAATGGATGAATATTTCGAAGTTTTTTGTTTAATTTTGTACAATCTATTTCATTTGTATTATAAATAATTGATGAGAGTCGGGCGTCAAGTATATCCTGAAGATCATTGTCATTTGAATGATCATTCTACAATATGAATTATATGTAATTAAACTGACTAAAAATCAATGAAAATTATCTCATTTACCAGTTTCGTATATCTAAGACTATCTGATATAATCGAAGTATTATTTTGATTAATGGAATTTGAACTAGTCGTTGCAATCTGTTGTTTTTTATTGTCTAGTGGACGATTATTTTTACGAATTTTTACTAAACTTCGAACTGTTTTCTGTATTCGATCACTTTGCATATCTGGATACTTTTTTATACATGCATCTTCGATAATTTGATATTGTTGATCAATCGACGATGCTGTTGTCGATGTAACATCAAAATTTTCGTTAACAAATTCACGAATAAATGTCTAAAAGAAGATAAGAATATTTGGTCACATCAAAAATATATATTAAAATACACGCTACTTTAAGACTTTTTATTTGTTGAGTATCATTTTGTTTCACCAATCTGCTATCAGTTCCAATATCTTCATCATCGTTACTTGTTACTTCATTATTACTCGATGATAATAGTAATTTTCCAATGTTTGATACATTATTAATCTTAAAAAAAATGGATTATCAATGTTCAACTCAACGTAAAACTCGATCAATACTTACTGGTGAATTTGAGCGTTTACGTTTGTTCTGATAGGTATTTGTTGGTAAAGATGAATGATAATTGATATCAATTGAATCACCTTGTGGATTGATCGTGGATGAATGTTCCATTGTAAGTACGTACTATAGAATGGAGCGGAAATAATGATGCCTTTTAACTATCATGTATATTAGCTTAGAACTAAAAAAATAAATACTTCTATATGTTGAACGTATACCAAGAGAAGAAAAAATTGTTGGTAATTTGAGTAAATACTTACATTTAATAATTTTTCGCTTATTCAGAGAAGATATCAGGTAAGTTCATTTTCCCGTTAAATAGTATTTCGTTAAATTTGTAAAAGAAAAGATGATATGTTACCATCTACTACTAAAAACTTACTAATTATATCCTATAATCTTTCTTTCCTGTCAGGCTTTCTGTTCAATAATACATTTTTTCTCATCTACTCTACTCAGGATACGGCACGTACACTTCGCTCAATAGTCTATCTATTTTATTCATCAAGTTCTATTACAATTACAAAGACGCTTTTAAAAATATACAAATAACTGTAAGAATGATGATGATTGAACCTTTCATATGGCTAAATTCAAGAGAGATGTTATAGTAATGTTACTCAATAGTCATCTACTATTTAGACCAATAGAGATGTATGACTATTAAAAGACTATTTCACATGATTTGACTTTGATAGGATTGAGTATCCTAAAGAGAAGTATCAAATACTGCCCTAATTTTTAGCTTACCTTCACTAATCTAGATAGTTGTATCTCCCTATTTAACCTGATGGCAACCGATTTTTTTTTAGATTGACATGTAGACTTGTTTTCAAAAGTGTGTGTGCAGTATATATAATGAGGACACTTGAATCAATTTCACACTAAAAAAATGAGAAAAAAAAGGGAAACGTTTTTTCTGTTGCCGAAATAATACAAAAAAAGCAGAAGACAAGAAAAGTTACTCTCTCTCTCTCTCTATGTATATATATCAGAAGAAAAGCCACTAAAAATGTCTTAAAAATAATGTTTTACATTGTAGGTAAACTATGAAAAAAAAAAGAAATTGATAATGAGACGACTTACCAAAAGCACGAATTTACCTTTTTCTTCTTCTTTTTGTGTATGTATGACATCAGACGATTCATTCTTCCGTTTCCATTCTCTACTTTTTTTGGCTACATACTTATAAAGTAAATCTTATTTTATTTAGTGTAGAAAACATTTAATATAGCACATATTCTAAAGCAAAAATTAAGAAAAAAAACCCAAAATGTGGAAAGATATTTATTACACATGAACAAATTTCTTAAAAAGTTAAGAAGAGAAGAAAAAATTCCCATGAACACCGTGTTCACTTAGATAGATAAACTTTACCTCGGAGGGGGGAAAAAAAATGAACATTTTCTTCGTTCTTTTACATCTTAAATAATAAAAAAAGGGAGCTTCTTTATTTGATCTGTCAAACAGAAAGAAGAAAAAAAATTATTTTAGAAACACAAATCTATGATACATTTCCTAAGATTATGGTCTATATGAAGAAACAAGAAGACAATAAATTTATATATGTAGTTATTGATGAAGAAAGTGTTTTATAAACTGTTAAACATTCCATACATTAAATTAATTTAAAAGTTCACTAGTTTATTCATTAAATCACAGTGTGATTTTTTTTTTGATTGCTTTTATTTTCAGAAAAAATAAATTGCATTAGCTATATTCTAACAGTTTTTATTTAAGTCATCTACTTTCTTTAAGCACGTGCTTAAATGGAAAAACCACATTTTTTTGTGTTAAGTACTTTATTTTTAATGTAAGATAATTTAATCAATGAAACTATGAAATATCCGTGGTTTGATAATTGAATGGAAATGGTAAATTTAGCAAACAGTTCGCGTAGTGGTAGTCCTAGATCTATTCTGAATGAGATGTAAGGAACTAAATGATGACTGTTATACACCATATGGAATAGAAACGTTTTTTTTTTGTCAATAATGTCATCATAATAATATATTTGAATTGACATACAATTTCATCATTAGTTTTTGAATCAAAATTTGAATTGAATAGCGAATGTCTGTGTTTCAGAAAACAGTACTTTTCTCAACCGTTAAAAGTGAACAATATAGTTCTAAAGTTTTTTAGCTTTAATTGTTTTATTTTGACTTTTTTTTTTCGATTTGATTTGTTTGTTTCAATAATATATCAGTTGAAAAATATTTTTCTCATTCCATAAAGGAAAAAAATTAGCGAAAACAAATTGTTTCTGTATTGTGAAAGAATCGAAAATATGTAATTGTCACAATATGCAACGTGTGCAACGAATAGAACTAGTCTATAGCTGTTAGCAGATGGTTTTAAAGTATGAGAGAGAAAGAAAAATAAGAAGAACAATAAACGAAAGACTTAAGACGTATGCTGTGTGTGTATCATTTTCAAATAACTAGTGCCAATAAAAAGGAAATATAACTTTTTTTTGTTGTTCCTCCCCATTAACACCATCCGTTTTCAACGAAACTATCATAACACCATAACACTTTTAATAAGTATTATATATTTTAACGACATTAGAGTGCTATAAAAATAATGCTATGTGGTATGACTACTCATTGATTTTTACTTGACTAATTTTAAGGACAAATGATGTAAATCTAGATAATTATACGTTGCCATTTATGAACTTGAATCTAATCAGGAGAACTACATGAGTAATTTTATAACAATCATAGCAATAGTGTTTTAGCTTCATTCTATAATGTAGAATTTTCAAGTCAAATACATAAGTACCTTCCTTTCAAAAATTCCAATCATTTGTAGAATATACGAGAATTGCTGTAAATTATTAGAATTTCTATTTGAATGAGATAATTCAAGAAATTCTGTTATATCATGTAAAACTTCTCCGCGACGTAGTTACTTGAGAGAAATACTTTTTGATCTTTTATATAGCAGTAGACTGTTTAATTTATTTTCATTTTATAAATAAGAAAATACAGTGACAATGAGGGAGAAGTGATAGGTGGAATTACCCATGGGAAAATTTTAGTATATAAAACGGCGCGTACACGGATGAATATCGTGAAATGAGCAGTGATCGCACGTGATCGCATGTGGGCACGTGTGCAAAATATATTACTCGTGGCGACGCGTGAACTATTCACGGAAACGTTTCACGTCATATTCTTCGCACGTGGTCACTAGTGGAAGTCGTAAAATGGTGTGTGAACATATGTGAAAAGAAGTTCTCACTTATGAACGCGTGTGAAATTATAAAAAGTTCACACATAACCATGCATTTGATGTTGCAACTACACGACTCCAAAGTCGTGAAACTTTGACACAATTTTCCCATGGGTAGTTCCAGGAATTCAAAGGACTACTTGCCTTTTAAGAAATTCTGATAATTTATGGTAATTCTCGTACGTTTTCATATTTGTGTGGAATTTTGAAAATGCACGCAGAAAACGAATTGGTCTCAAAATAAGTCGGCATAAATTGGCATGAAATTAGCCGAATGCGTTCGTCTTGTTTTAAAACAGAAGATCAACCAGTCTTACATCGATACTACGTAGTGCAAATCCTTTATAATGGATAGCAGTATCACATAGGAGCATTACAACATCTGAGTACCGCTCAACTACATGATGTTCGTTTACTTTTGTAAAAGAAATGGAAGAAAATTTCGAAAAATCGACGTCTTCAAATAAGACGGATGTAATGGGAAGACGTTTTTTTTTATAATGTGGATACTGCTGCAAATATATACGAGATATTCAAGAAAATCTCATCACTTTTTTGAACACTTTTCGGTTCTGCTATATATAATAGAGATGGTAAACATCAAAATTTGTTTCAGAAATCAATGGGAGTGTTGATAACGTCTTTAAATTCAGTCAGTAGCTTGCGTCAGCAAGAGGACTAGGGTGGACGCTGTCCTCTTATTCTCACTTAATTCTTAATGAACTTTTCGAAAAGTTTTGATTCGCCCCGAATTTTTCGAGAAAACTTTTTATGATTTTAAACAAAAACAAAATTCTAGCAGCGCCATCACGTCAGAAAACACTATAAATAATAAATATGTTTTAGATTCACTAACAGTTCTAGTACTAACAGTAGCCAATTTACTATAGTTTCAATAGATAATTGATAACGGACAAACAATTTTCAATCAAGCGGAAACACTTTAACGTCTAACGACAAGTATCTTCAGTTGACTGAATTATTTGTCATTGATATTCCACATATTTGAAAAATTTGGCAATGTTTATGGAAAGATGGAGGCATGGTATAGTTTATCTGGTTACTTGTCTCTGAAGTCGAGTGGAGGTAATAATTAATGGCTTATATTTAATAGTTCTTGCTCATGTAAAATAATCTTACAAGACAAAACTAACAGAGCTTATTGGTACAACTTTCTTTTAATAATACTCAATAAAAATGCAATGTTCCTATTTCAGTATTAGAAAATGATTTATAATCATGTATTTCATATTGAAATTTAGCTTTAAGTCGTCTGCTACCATCCCGACGTTATTGGTTTGCATTTAACGAAAGTTACCAAAAGCTACAAATTTTTCATACTGAACATGATCAAATCACCAATAGAACACCTGTTGAAGATATTCCTATTTACCGAGCAGCCATTACATTGGCTCCAACTGAAGAATTATTATTTATTATACTGTAAGTTGATTACTACAGAAAAGCGGACAGATTTAATTTGAAAAAAAATGAATTTAGAACAGACACAAAAGAATATCGACTCAAGGCTGATAATCATGAATCGTTAATGATTTGGTTAATTGGTCTACAAGTATGTATCTTTGTATAAAATAGATTTCATTGTATAGAAAAACTAAAATCTGAATTTTTTTTATCAGCGAAGCGCAGGACCTATTTTGCATAGTCATATCAAGTTTAAAATATTATAGAATACGCAAAATAACAATAAAATTCATTAATATGCAGAATTATGTCGTTTTTTTATACTTTCAGTTGTATCACTAGGAAATATGTTAACTCTGTATGCATGTTTCTTTTTTTCATTTATCTACAGTTGAAGAGAGATGCAGCTGAATCACAACTAAAACAAACTTCAGTTCTGGAAAAAGATTCAATCAGTATCCAGGATTTGGAGGAAGAAGAAGTAAGTGATGTATATATCAGACACAAGATATTTTAATTATATACATTTTATTAACAGCACATCAATGCATGCCCTGACGAAGAAAGTATGTGAAAATATCACTTGCTATAAAGAGTGTTAGAAGAAATGCTTGTGTTTATGTATTTTTTTAGCGAATGGAAATTCAAGATCTAACAGTATAACGAGACAATCAGAATTTATTTCTAAATTTTACTTAGAACGTTCATTGATCAGTGATGATGGTTCGCTAATCTGAGATGATTATATGTAGTATTACCTAATAATGAAATTTTTTTTATTTAACTTTAGAAAAATGTCACTATGACACCATTTCATCTGCTCTTGAAAGCAGAAAAATGAGGTAACTAGCTCTAGCTAATAAACACCAAACTATGAATTACCCATATCTCAAATACCGGTAAACTTTCGTCGTCTAAAAATACCGGGTGTTTCAGATATAATTGACTTCTCCATGTTTTGTTTATTTCTGACCGCGTAGAATTGAAATGCCTTTTGAAAGATTCACCATTTCATTCTTCACAAAAACATATCGAAAACTTTTCTTCTGGCACAGGTTAAGTAATCCCGCTACGATCCTATAGGATTTTACTGATAATAGTATTTCAGAGGATTCTTGATATAGGAGAGTAGAAAAATCCTATAGGATTTCTGTAATAATCCTACGGTAAGAATTGATGTAAGATTTTGTTCAAAAAATTCCTGTTTTTTCGTTCTATATATATTTTCTTTTCTTTTTCTACACAATCACCGACGTGTTTTACAGTAACTCTAATATAAATACAACTCTACTGTACTGTAGAAAATGAAAAATTAAACAAATAAAACAATAATTAAACAAATAAAAACAATAAACCTAGTAGGATAAGCCAGCAGAAATCAGATGAAATCCTGCTACAATCCTACAATAGGACCAAGATTCTTCTTCTGATAAAGATTCTACAAGATCTGACTACAGGATCCTATAAGAATCTCACAGTAGGATTTTGTAGGCTTTGAGGTTTTCCTACAAAGTCTTGCAAAATTTTCGTAGGATCTTACACGATCCTATGGGAAATAGGACCTTGTAAGATCCTGTAAGAATCTTGTAGGATCTCACGATAGGATTGTTCGACCTTGGAGATCGTTAAAATAAAAAAATATAAAAGAAAGAAATACTGAGAGGCTTCAATCTCGACAATATTCTAACTTTTTCGCCTTGATAAAGAAAAAAAAATGAAGCTACTGAACTCTTTGTTTAGCATGTGGTAGAACAATTCTTCTAAATGTACTCCACCTCAAAATATTTGGTATACTTTGTGGAGAACGAAATGGCGAATCTTTTAAAAGGAAATTTAATTCTATGTGATCAAAAATGAAAAAGTTGTTTAAAAAATACGGAAAAGCCAATTATATCTGAAGCATCCATTAATACCCTTCAGTTTAGCAATGGGAAACCACGCACTGTTCTTAAAATACGGTGAGCGGTCAACAAATAAGTTTTTCGATATAAATTATTTGAGTGAGCAGTTAGAAATAAAGTTTTAAATATAAAGTATAATATTGCTATGAAAAATATGTTAATAAAATTTTTCTGAATTTATTTTAAACACTCGAGCTTTCGATCACAACTTAGATCATTTTCAAGAGTATGATCTAAGTTGTGATCGAAAGCTCGAGTGTTTAAAATAAATTCAGAAAAATTTTATTAACATGTTTTTCATAACAGTATTATACTTTATATTTAAAACTTTGTTTTTCGATATATTTGTAGACTAGCCGCCGATCAGGGATGACAGCCATGCTAAGAGTGCCTCACTGAGTAACTCGAATTCATATACTTCGATGAGCCCAAAAGAGAAAAACTTTGAAGTTTTTTAATTTTTTGTTATCCTTATATTCTCATCGAACTAGCGAAACAGTTAAGTGAATAGCTCTGAAATGGTATCTCAAACGGTATTCGCCGTATCGAAATATGGAAAATACTACCCGGATACTGTCGGTATACCGAGTGTTTCGAGATAATACCTCGGTAATCGGCGGCACATAATAAAATAGTACAATATAGGGGCTGTGTGTTTCTATTTAGTTTATGTTCAAATAAAGATCTATGCGATTCATGTTCATCTATTTTGTGTTCTGAATGTCGTACAATTGTTCAATTGCAACCGTCGTCTGCAACAAATTCAATAACCAATAATCAACAACAACAAAATTTCATTGAATCATATCCCGGAACAGGTTCATCGACCAACTCAATAGAATCATGTGATTCAGCGTTTTGCGAAAAAATATTCGATCATCATTACGATGGTCATTTAGCACAAAGTCACACGATCATTCATGCTTCACTTCTGTATGCATATCACGTTTTTTTTAATAGACATTAAAAGAACCCATGAGGTCTAATTTTAGTTCATTGAAATCTGAACTAGCATCAGCATTAAACAAAGAATGTATTTATTTGTCAATAATTAAAGAAAAATGTACTCTTATGCGAAAATTAGAGCAACAATTGTCAGATATAATTACCACTGCAACACCATGCAATAAGTGAGAGAATATAGTGAAATTAAGTATTAAAAAGTGCTTCCTGTTGTTGATATTTTAGATTTTCGGCTATTTCAAAAGTGTTTACAGAAAAAAGTCGAGAAACAAATAATGAATTAAAATTCTTAAACCTTGAAGTAACAAAATTGCATAAACTGATTCGTGATGATGATGTTAGAATTCGAAAACTTATACGGTTAGTTAATTCAAACTATATATGTATATACATTTAAAAAATAATTTTGTTTATTACTAATTTTATAGTGCAATTCGCGTACAACAAACACAAATGCATGGACTACAAAGGGATTATGTTTATTTGTTACAAACATCTTTGGCCACAGACGAAGGTCGAGTATTTGGAGGAGCAAAGGTAAATAATAAAGAAGAAATTTCTACACTCTCATTATAATATGTTTTTATTTCTTCTAGCATCGAGAACGTCTGAAGGAACTTTTAGCCGATTGTCGAAAACGAGATCCGTCGTTACCGTCATTTGAAAGGTATGTATAGTAAGACAGATATGATATGCAAGCATTTACCAATTTTCTTTTTGATTTTAGTTTTGAAGGATGTGGTTGTTACATTGACTCCTATGGTTTTAAACATAAAAAGAATAATGATAGTGATATGTTACGGTATATTTGTTTGAAATTAACTGATTTTTATGACCAAAAAGCTTATATTACCGATGAACTACTATGGCGAACATTACTAACATCATTCACTAATAATAACATTGTCTCGGTAAAGTAACTAATCATCGATCAATGTTTAGTCAACACAATAAAAATAATTCTTTTTTTGCTTCATTTTGTAGAAATCTTTTAAAAATCTCATTCATCAAGGTGCACCATACCACTTGCGGTCAGATATTTGGCGTTCATTAATCCTTAAGAAAGTAGCTCACGTTAGAAAAGCTCGAGGTGCCATGTTATTCCAGACTTTATGCCTTCAAATTCCAGAAAACGATGTACATCGTGCATATAACGCTTATCACAACGAATTACAATTTTTGTTTTTATTTTAGTTGAGTAATAAATTTCGAAAACAAATTCAATTAGATTTATATAGAACAATGCCTACAAATATTCGTTTCTGTAGAAAAGATTCGATTGGTGTAATTAGATCATTCTTTTGTCATCACTTTGAAAATCGGAAATAAGAATTAAGCCAGTTTTATTTTTAGATTCATCAATTAAGCGAAATATTAGAAGCATTTTGTTTGTACAATCCATCTCTTGGCTATTGTCAAGGAATGAATTTTATTGTCGGTATTGCTCTATTGTTTCTAGAACCAGAAAATGCATTTTGGTGAAAATTATGATAATATTTAGTTCCATAGAATCTAAAGCTTCTTTTCTTATTCTTTAGGTTGTTGATTGCTGTTACTGAATGTTATTTTCCGTCAAATTATTATGATTCTGGTTTAATCGGAGCTCAAGTCGACCAATTCGTATTAAAAGATTTGATACAAATCAAAGCACCTGAACTTTATCGACATTTTGAAAGTATTGAAGTGGAAATTACATCTTTAACATTAAACTGGTTTATGGCTATCTTTATTGGTAGTGTACCATTCGAGGTAGATAGATAGATAAGAAACAATTTTCCATTTAATAGTATGGTTGAAACATTTTCTCTTATTTTAGACTTTATTGCGCATTTGGGATTGTTTTCTGTTAGAAGGTCCAAAAGTTTTATTTCGATTTGCCGTGGCGATACTGATTATGAATCGCGACAGTATTTTAATGAAAAGTGATACTATATCGATGATGAAGCATATCAAAGAGTCGGCAAAAAATTTGACCGATGTTGAAAGTCTATTCAAGGTACCTTAATTCGAAATAACAAAAGTTTTATTATAAAAACTTCAGGTAGAAAAAGAAGAAGGAATGCTTCGCCTAGTGGCTACCGTTAGCCGTATAGGGCGAAGACAAGCGTCAATTTCAATAGTCCGATATTTTCTCTACACCTGACACGCTTTTGTCTGTATCAGTACTAGTGGTAGTCATCAACTACAGCTCTGACCAGAAGACTTGTCTGACACAGCGTTCTTTTGGCCGATTACTTGTACTCCCTATTCACACTCGCTAGCCAAATACTAGCTGGGTGCCAAGCCACGAAGACTAGCTGGAGGAACTGTATTGTAGGTCACAACGCAGAGAGTATGTTGCCAGGCGGGTGATCCCAGGTACTAATGCATAAGTAACTTGCCTAAGGTTGTACAGGACTTGGACAGTGCTAAGGAAAAAAACCTCAGACTGTTTGTTAAATTACTGCATATTTCATGTAGATTGCATTTGAAGATTTGAAACCATTTACTAGAAGAAAAGATATTGCTGTTAAACAAGCGTATTACACAAAACTGTTAACAGAAAAAATACTCAAGCGACGATTATCACCACACGCATTCGCAAAGCAAGATTATGTCGTAATACAATGTGTTTTGTTGTTTAAAAATGAAATAATACTATCGTTTGTTTAGTTTCAAGAGATCAGTCATTATACATGTACATTGGACTGTGTCTGTGTGATAACAGGAGGTATCAAAGTAATCAAGTCGTCTGAAACTGTATAACATTATGCCGACACTGTTTGATAATTTTAGGTCTGTTATGGTTTGTGTTTGGTTCTCAATTCGAATATCGAATATTTGAAGTGAATATTGAACGAGGCATTATGATTGATTTAGAATTAACCGTATGTATTATTCAACAGCGAACAATACGAATTACTTTAAATTATTTTCAGTATAATTCTCGTGCATATTGTATGGATTGTGTCAAGTCAGATCTTGTGCTCGTCGGTACTTTATCGGGAACTCTTCTTGGATATTCTATTGAGAACAGGTACAGAAACGATGGCCTCTTATATTATTCCTATTAGACATTAATGCTCAAAATATTTTTATCTAGAAATATTCAATGGGTCACGAAGTTAAGCAGTTCTATTGTATACATAACTCACTATAAGAAGGAAGATTTGATTCGTGCTTACTGTGGGTTATCCGAAGGAACTTTAGCCATAGTAGAAGTAAGTATTAGTCGCATAATACTAAAAAATAATTTTATGAATTTATGATGTTTAGTTATCCGATAATAGAGTGCCAGAAGAAGCATTTTCCATTTCGTTGGGTAAAGCACCTCTTACCACTGTTATAGTATCAAATGAAAAGCTATGGTGTATATGCTCAAATAAATTATCAATTCTAAATGAAAAGTTTGTGGACATAAACACAGGTTGATTAGCGAGAAAAAGTTTTATTGCTCATCTTCTCTTTTAGAACATTAGATGTACTCATATCTGTTGGACTTACAACGCAATATCTTGAATTGACACCAATCCTTTATCTTGATGAACCAAATTATATTTGGTTAATACTACGTTCGAGTAATACGTTACAAGTATGGGATAGTAATAATTGTAAACTCTATGCAAGTACTTCATTAACAACTGTATTCAACAAGCTTGAAAAACCGAACAGTGACCATGAGTTAGCGAGAGCACAGGTTGGTTCAAAATGATGGGATACTCACTAAGTTGAAAATCATTAATCAAACTATTAATTTATTTTGAAGACTGACGATGAAGATTGTACATCTAGCGAAACTCAAATATCATCATTACTAGTAAACGGTGGGCAATTGTGGCTTGGTACATCAGCTGGTAATATTTACGTATTTGACGTCAATTTTCAACCAAAAAAATCGAAGTCATCAATAATGGACTTTCAAACAGACTCACTTTATTATCATTCACGATCATTCAGCGCTTCCTCTAATTTAATCGATATGTCTCGTCATCTTGTGCAGCATACCGATTGTATGAACAACACATTATTTCTAGATAAACGCTCTGCTCCTCGTTCATATTCCGAATCAGCAATCAATATAGATGAATATGGAAATGATTTTGTTATCAACAATGACTACGATGAATGGTTACCATCGAAGCATTTATATCAAATTGCGTTTAGTCCAAATGTATTAGTACCGAGTAGTAATGGTAAGACGAAGAGTATCAAGGCAAATTTTTTACGACGCAGAACACGACATCTTTCAACATCTATTATGGCAAAACAAGGTAAAACTGATCATCGTAGATTTTCTAATCTGAATAGTGAAATAAAGTTAAAACCGTCGTTGAGAAAGCATAATCATAAACAACCGAAATGTGTACCAGACTCAGATACATCAACAACACTAACCTCTCAACATACACGCTCATCTAGTCCGGCAATAATTTCAGCGGACGAATGTATAAAACATACGCATCGAAGTCTATCACAATCAATTATTCGGAATCAAAAATCTATTGATACATCGAGAATGTCTGTTAATTTCAATTTAGCATTTAAAGCAAAAGTTTCAGATTCGTCTATCAAATGTATTTGTAAATCAAGGTAACGACTTTTAACCATAGTATCTCGCTGTATATATTGTTTCTACTGCTAATTAGAACAATTATTTATTTAGCCACAATGATCAAACTGTTATTATCACGGGTCAAGGAAAATATGGTGATGATGAGACGGTTCTACGATGGAAAAGAGTAGAAGATACAGTACGTATTATGCTTTTGTCTAACGAGGGAAATACCCCAACTGTTTAAACGCTTTTGGCCTGACGCTTAGTGGACAATAGGTAATCGAGTGTGCTGAATCTGAATATCACATTGGTTTGGGCCCAATTTTAGTTTAGAGACCCCATTTTTCAACGACCCGGTTTTTAAGCTGGAAAACTTTTCTAAACAAAAAATGTTTTTGATCCAGCCATATGAAAGAGCTCATCGCCAAACCTAAGCAAAACCATCTTATTAACCATCTTACCAACCACCGCTATGAACATCGTTTTCGACAGTTGTAAATCAAGTAAATGTAAATCAGTTTTGCACGTTTAAAACCTCTTCTAAAACCTAAAAAGATGGTTTTGCTTAGGTTTGGCGATGAGCTCAAAATCTCGAATTGATTATTTAAACGTAGGCTGTTGAGATCGGATGTGAACAAAAGATATAAATTGGGCATGAGCCTTTTAGATAGTTATCGAAACTAATGTGTATAAGCAGAGTTACAATTAGGCAGATCAAACACTTGGTATCTTCTGTACTTTCATTTTAGACCCAATGGACCAATGATGTGATTGTCGAACTCAGTCCAGACTCATCTATTCCACTACGACCACAACACGCTAGATGGAAGTACTTTAAAGAAAATCGTGATCGTTCGAACAGTATTTCATCTAATTTAATTTAAGCAAGTTTATCTGGTTTCATCACAGCAATAAACGGTAAAAACCCATTATATGTTGCCGAGATGGTACAAGTGAAGAATCATGTAATTTCTCCAAGTTATGTTTAAAAAAGCCCACGAATAAGAATTATACGATACATCTAATTAAATTTAACTTATTTACTTTAAATATATTCTTGCATTTTAATCAAGTAGCAAAATAACAATGTTGTATTAGTTAATCCCATATACATAAACGCCTTTGGAACATAATTCTAAACTGGTATTCTATTTTTACTTTAGTTCATTATTCACAAAAATGAATTTTGCGTGTATGCGTTCAGTTGGGGCTGTTTCAGTTGTTCATTTTTGATTTAGTTTTGTTCACTGCTATTTCACAACTGTTATCTGATTTCACGAACTATGGAGATCAATGGTTTTGCTTGAACGAGACAGTCAAATTTCGTGTACCATTATACAAGGATTCCTACACCGTTAAAAACTTTTACGTCAGATAATGTGAATGTGTGAAGATATACCGCAAACGTTATATAACGAACAAAAACTCATTAAACATTTTATGGAGAGATAGTGTGTGACCATAATGCAGTATAAGCTTTATTCTCTCAAAATACAAGCAGAAAAATTCCGTTACAGTATTCTAAACTAAAACTATCGAAAAACACAAAATTGTGCAAATAAAGATTCAAACACATGAATTTGTATAAGTTAACTTAGTTTTGCAGTAAACTGCAAAACTAAATCTAATATAGTATTTAATGCTTTATAGTGTAATATTGTCAAACATTATCTCCCCAGGTGAAAATCATCTTACGAGATCATGTAAAATCTGTCGTTTTCTTATGAAATCTTGTGACAAGATTTTACTGCATGGTCTTACAAGGTCTTATTTCAAGATCGTGTAAGATCCTGCGGAATCTTGTAACTTCTTGTCATACGATCACACAGGATCAGCTCAAAAGAAATGACACGATCATATAGGATCTTATGACAAAAAAAATCGAATGATCTTGTAATATCTTGTACGAGCGTTGACTCATATTTAGTTCTTGTCATAAGATCTTATTTACTCTTGCAAAAAGCGATAACTCATTCTCCCCACAAATTTCGCTACGATATGTATATACAACATTATTCTTATGATATAAAACTTAGACGTTTTCTTTAACTTCGCTGAAGTGTGTAGCTTCAAAGAAAGTACACACCTCTAAGGCACGTGATCAGGCACGGATCATAAGAACATAACAGTCCTGCAAATGCTAGAAATATCAAAAACAGAGTATAGAGGAAATGTGTAGTACAGGATCAGGCACATTATCTTGCAAGATCTAATGAATTCTTATAAGATCTTGAGAAAGCTTGCAAGATCTTACGAAATCCTGTTGCAAGAAAAATCTTGTGGTATTTTGTAATATGATCTTCAAGAACATATTTCAATATTATTTGGCGTAAAAATTTTTAACAATGTGAAAATTAAGTTATTTGGTGATTGAGGATTGATTGGTAGCCTTTCTTGTAGAAAAACAGCGTAGAAATCTGTTACTTTAGAATGAATGCTTCCAGACTGATGCACAAATAATAACTTTAAGATATGCTTGATCTTTGCTTTGTTTTGCTCATAAAGAAGTATATAACGAAACTGTTATACATTCTGTTTATACAATGCACAGGCTGCATCTTGAGTGTCGGACTCACTTCATCTGGAAGGGTGCATGAGAATAACAACAACATCAGGTCGATTTTTACTTTTTGTGCTAAACACAAAGCCGTTTGAATGAATTCATATAAAAAAAGTTTCATAAAATGAAACAAGATTCACAAAAAGAAAAAAAACAAAAATTTACAAAATACAAAAAGTTATTATAAATATCTATTTAAGTATAGTTTTGCTATTCGATGTGTGAAGTTTTGAAAAAACAAAAAGAAACCACTTATTTTTGAAGTAATGCGTATTATATCTAACATCTAAAACAGCTCTACAGATCAAATGACAGTAGAAAAGGGGTATATATTGAATAATTTCCTCTAAAACAATGGCTCGGATTTACTATATAAATAAGCGCATATAGTATCGGTTTGTTGCTTGCAAGAAAAAAACGGAAGAAAAACTAACAGCAAGAAACATGATAAAAAAATATTTTGAATTAATTAGAACAGGTAAAAAATAATCGAACAGACATAATTTCATTCTCGGAGAGGCGAGAAATAACAGTGCACGTTCTTTGGCAAGAATATATAAATAACGAATGTGAAAATATCACAGAAAGAGAATTTTACACAGTTTGTATTAGTTAAATTGTACACTGACACATTTTTCGATAGATTTATTAATAAATCTTATCAGACAGATGTCTCGAATAATTCCTCTTTCTTTTTGGGACCCTATAAAATAGAGAAAAATAAATTATTATTTTTGTATACCTATGTAGTCTTTTTGGCTCAAATATTGCAATAAATGCCAATATTTTTTGTATCGAAAAGAGAGTGGCGACGGAAATTGTCCAGTATCGCGATCTCCACGATAGACAGTCTGTTTTTGACCTGCTGCCGATAACGAACACATCTCAATAAATAGTCTGTTATTGCAATAACAGGTCAAAAACAAACTGTCTATCGCGACAAAACAATAAAAAAACCTACATGGAATATTAATCAAGTAAAACTAAAGACTTACATCGTATAATAATCGTTGATCTGTGAATGCACTTTCAAACAGTCGCTTGCCAATTTGATCCTTATTTGTAATTGACACTGGTAAAGGAGTAGACCCATCTCTAAATGGGAAAAAACGTAATTTTTATGTAGAAATGATGATGATTTTGATGTTATCCATACCTGTTGATAGATTTGTTAATAGTCTCTCGAGACAGAGTAGTCTCTCCTTTTTTCGGTAAAGCAAGAATGGTATTCAGTACATTGTCTAAATCCTCTTCTTTATCTAGAGTAAATAACAGAAGAAATACAAACTACACTGATCAAGGTATTAACACTAAAATGTACCTCGATTTGTACTAGGGCGCCGTTTTTGAGTATTAGAATGTCCATTTGTCGTTGGCCTCATTTGTTGTCTGCCAAGTTGTCTTGATGGTTGTTTATTTTTCTCATTTGAATTCGATTGATTATTGTCAATTATATTTTCATTCGATGAACTTGTTCTTAATGATGTTTGCGATTGTGTTCGTTTTGCTCGATTATCGTCACCATTGATATCTCGAGGAATTACTGATATTCTGCTCAAATCTTTTAGGCGACTTTCTAAATAGAGCATAAATGCTTGTAAGTCATTTTGACTTTTTGATTGATCGAATTGAACGACACGTAATCGAATATCGTCTAATGCGGCTTGAATACGAACATCGGTTGAATTATGTAGTTTATCGAATAAATTGTTCATTTCACGTGTACCATGCGCAGTGATATATCCTTTCAACAAATCATCATTGTTCTTATTCATATAACAAATTTCAGAATTTTCAGATACTTGTCCGGTATACCATTTCATCGATAACATTCGTGCATTATCCTCTTGAGTTGATGTACTTGGCACTAGAGGAACTGTTGGCGATAAACGGGATTGAGACAATGTTGTCTTAAGCTGAGAGTGTTGTTGTGGTAATGGTAATCGATCAGCAACATGATCTAGATTATCTTCGTAGGATTTTGACGGTAAGGTTCGAGTTGTATGTGCATCATGATAATCGGATACATTATGAAAACTACGTGATAATCGTTGTTGTCGTTTAAACAATTGATCACTGCCATCGTTTCTTACATGCACGATTTCATTATCATCAATAATATTTGACTCATCAGGTGTATACGTATCCGATACATAATCTCGTAACTCTTTTGTAGATGTTGACAAATTATTGACAGTCTGTGATCCATACAGACTACTTTTACTCACTGCGTTTTGAATTTGTTTTGTTAGTGCGTTTGTTGATAATGTTTGTCGTGTAACTTGTTGTTGTTTAATAGACGGATGTGGATTCGTTGTTCTTGATGGAAGTGTGGCAAATGGACTTTTTGGCGGTAAACGAGAAGAGGTAGGCGATTGAGATAATTGAGTAGATAAACGATCAATAATATTAGCTGTATTATTTACTTGTTGATCACCTATTGTCGCTGGTAATGTGCGCGATTTGATTATTGGCTCGAGTGGTAAAACTTGTTTTTTCAAATTTCGTGATGTTTCGACTGCTGCTCCGCTACTACCACTACTTGTTCGAGAAGACGAATTGTTGTAATTTTCATTAATTTTTCCACAATAATGTCGTGATGATGGAATTCGAGGATAAGGTTGTATGGATGTTACATAAAAATCTTTTTTATAGTCAGTTCTATTTAATAAATCGTTTACCATATTAACCCCAAATTTTCTCAAGTCAGATGACGAACGACGAGGTGGAAGTGGAGGAATTTTTGTTTCATCAACGATTCGAATACTTGTTTTCGTTGTTTTTGAAGGTATGACCTCGATGACATTATTTGATTGAATATGTCCATATGTTAAATTATTTGTTATATTTCTGGATTCAATATAATTATCTATATCGGTTTCAATGCTTGCTTTTCGTTGAGAAACAATTCGTGTTTCATCATTAACATCATTCAGTAATCGCATTGGTTTCAACGTTCGAGCAGGTACCGGTGGAGGTGGTTGAGGAATAACATCTTCGGATGAAGATGCAGATGTACTAGAAATGGGTGAATGTTCGACGATTTCAATATCATCATAATATAATACCATATCACCTTCAATCATTTCAATATCCACATCATTATCATCATCATCATCACCTTCCTTTTCCAAAATAACTGTTGTTACAATATCAACTGGTAAACTAGATTTTGCTGTTTGATAAGAGTGTATTGTACTTTGACTCTCTGTTGGACTACTCGTTGCTTTAACATGAGAATCAAAATTGAACTAAATAGAAATAACAGATAATTTTTAATCTCTATTCAAGTTGAAAACAGTGAATAATATTTGAATAGCAGAACATGAATGAGATCTCTCTAGAAATTTTTGATAATCAACGTAACAAATCAATAACAGAAGAGTTTAAATTTAAGTCAAATCTCACCTTTTCTGTTTGTGTTTCTTGTGCTGGTTTGATAGTTTTCGGTACAACCGCATGTTGTGTTGATGTAACTGGTGAATTTTCATTACTTGTGTGCGAGCTTTCTTTATTCCCTTGGTCTAGATAATCTTCAATGTCATTCAGTGTATCATCAACTTCAGAATTATTGATTTCTTGTTCAACTGCACCCGCACTCGATTTTGATTTTGATTTTGATTTTGTTGCTGAAATTCCCTCTTCATTAATTTTTGACAAATCAAATCGTTTTGATACGTCGATTGTATTCTTATGTGTTACATGACTTGGAGAATTTTTATCATTATTTGTAGGTGCTATGAGCATTGGTTCATTTAGATATTCAAAATTATCATCCAGATTGGTAACAGGTATCAATTTTTTCGCTATTGTTTCACTATTAACATAAACAGTATTATTGTAGTTGTTATTATTCCGATAAAATCGTTGTACTGCTTCAACAGCCGGAAATGGAGCGTTTTCTTCAGAAATCGATTTATTATGTTTAATATCTGATGATTTATCATTATTCTTTGAAATTGTTGTTTTATACTGAGATGACTTTGTTTCGGATGATGATACACTATCGTCGGAAATGTGTTCGTATGGTGTTGCATCACTTGCTTCCGAGTCATTACTAGCCGTATGAAAATCAAACACACGCTCAATGGCACCGCGAATAAACTGAAAATCTTCATGATTTCCGTTTTGTTTCTGCAATTGTTCTTCATACATCGGACGAATTTCTTGATAAATATGCGGTTCATCCATTTCATTAAGATTTAATTGTTTATGCGGTACCTGAGGAACTTCGTATTGTTGAAATTGGTTTGAACTACGAAATGAACTACGATCAGGTAACAGAGATGGTACGTCGTAAGTATTCTAAAAAAGCAAAAATCAATACCCATTTTTTTCAACATTTGTGTACAAAAAAACACGTCCAGACAAGTTTTATTCAAGAAACTGAAAAAAAACGCGTCTAAACGCATCTAGAATGGAACGCTACAAACGCGTTTCTAGGTGTCAAATGTCGTTCAAACACCTCTGCCAGCAACGCTAAACGCGTTTGAGACATACAAAACTTTTACCGCGTAGGTTCAATCTACTCTCTCTTTTAGGAACGTTCAGTTCATCTGACTAGGTTCATATCATCTTTATCATCTTTTGTCTTATGAACATAGAAACAATGAGAAATGTCAATATAATTTGTTTAAATATGTTTACTATATAATTTACCTGAGTTACTGATTCGATAATTTCTTTTTCTACTTTTTGAGTTTTATTGTCGATGTGATTATGTAGATCATGATGTTCAGCTTCATCATCTTTTGTCACAATATCTGTTACAATGGAGTCAGATGTGTTAGATTCATTTTGGATTTTATCAGACGATAAATTTAAAACATCATTGTCTCCAACTGTTTTCGATGGATCAGAATGAATATTTCGATTATTTATGATAATTGGCTGGTAAAGTGATATTGTTGGTATTTGAGACGCGGATGTTTCCATGAAAGGATTCATCCGGCGTAGAGCACTGAGTGCTGCACTTCCCAGTGAGACTGGGCTATGGCGTACAACGAATGTATTGAGTATATCATTTCGACCGATTGGACTAACGGGGGCACTTCCTAATAGACATGTATGATGATGATGTGTTGCTGTTGTCGTACTTTTATGATCATAATACGAGCCGACACTGTATTGACGATGACGTATTTTTGATGTATAAGACGATGGACTGGATGTGCTTGATAATTCGTCAATATTATTAATTAAACTATCCCATTTTTTTAAATTACAATATTGCGGTGATTCCATCATAGACGGAAGCAAATAGGATGGTTTCAAACTATTGTTTGTTGTTGTCGATGTATCAACGCTCAATGCTGTTGGAGCCTGAGTGGAAAACAGAGGTGGTAGTGAATACGCAATATAAATCGGTAATATATTATCATTTTTCGAACTAGTCATTTCTTCTAACTCTTGCACTGGTGATTTTGGCGTGATTAATATATTCTCTGCCGACTTTTTCGATTTTTGTTCATCAACGTTTATAGATTTAGCTGTATCGTCTACTTTTGAATTATCTATTATTTCTGTGAAATCAAAAGTACTTTTAATAGTATTATCATTTAATACATCAACTGGTTGATCGCTTGCTGTTATATGACTACCATTCCAAAGTTTTTCGTCTGTACCAGTTTGTGGATACTAAGCATAATAAAAAAATGATAATGGCAAAAGTTAACTGAGAATTCACTAGAAAGCTAATGGAGTGGTCATTAAATACACAAAAAACTTGTTATGCACACGATACAGTCAACTCTACAAGTTTCTTCACTATAGTACATTAATTTCTTAAAAGAATCTGAAGAACAGATGGAAAGGGAAATGTAAACTACTAATATGTTTAGAATGTAAAAAAAATAAGATAGAATTAATGTTGACATCACAAATATGTTCTGCTTACCGCGTCATCAAGAGCAATAACAGATGTTGTATTCGGACTATGATCAGAATGACTATTTTCATTTTCAACTTCATATAAAATATCTTCTTGTAAAGGTCGTCGATAATTTTTAATCATGGTTACATCATGATTATCATCAATAATATCATCAAGATTCGTTATTGTTGTACATCCAAATCCAAATGGATCTCGTGTTGTGGAATAGTGAAAATCTGATTCGTTTGTATCCGTAGGAAACAGATCTTCATGATTGTTATTGTTCTTATTATCATCGTCTGATGGTATAAATGCATACAATCGATTATTTTGATTATGCATACTATTGTTATTGTTGTTTACATTAGGAATAGCTGAAATGTTAACTTCTTTACTCGAATTATCATCTTCATTTTCATTTCGGGGAGAAAATAGAAAAAATTCATCTCCAACATTATTTATATCATTTAGATCGACTTCACGTAATATTTCATCGTTAGGAATTTCTCTTAAACCACTGGTACTTGTCTGATAGATACCGGCTGAATGACGTTTTAAACTATCCGATGATAAATGTTTACTAAAGTTATTTGGTAATGATGATGATGCTACAAGTGTTGTATTGTTATTGTTTATACTGTTTTGTCGATGAATACACGTCGCTATTGAATTTCCTTCATACCAATGATCATTTTGTTGTGAAAAATGAGACGATGAATCGGTACTAGAAGATGATAAACTATTTCTATCACCATCCGGTGATATTTCCATTTCTATACCACCTCCTAAACGACGTTGCGAATTTGATAGTTGAGAATCAGATAGAGCAATCATTGTTTTCTTTTCTTTTTTTTCGGAAATGTTTTGTAAATTATTAACGACTAATGGCGATATAATTTGTACAACATTATTATTTGTTTGTTCTGATTTATTGATTGCCGTTTCGGCATTTGTCGATTCTTCGAATTTTTCTGAATCATACAAATCTGAAAGAAAGAAAAGTAAGAAGCTTTAATCACTCTTGACGTATCACCTCTTTCTTTCTTTCTTTCTTTCTGTCTCTTTTTTCTTTCTCAATGAAGTTCATTATACACGTAGACGAAATGAACACCTACGTTAAGTCTACAGGTGATTCATGGAGAGAAAAGAAAATAGCACATTTTTATTGAAACAAAAGCATATAGCACTCTAGAGTATAAATTGTTTGAAATTTCATGATGATTAATACCGGAAAATAAAAAAAAATTTGTTCATTTTGTGTATATTTGAGAACTTAGTATGCGTGGGTCATTTGTTCCCAATTCTTTTTTGTCATTACAACTTCGCGTGAGTGAGTGTGCACAGTATGATGATGACCTGTATGTACAAACCCAAACAAGAGGAGAAAAAAAAGAATTTGACCATTCGTTGTGTTGTGTCATGTATATCTATCTATCTTGAATGATACTGATATATTTAGAGTTTGTTATTGTTGTATGTGTCATAAAGCCATTGAAATGAACACTTTTAGTTTTATCGCAAATTCTTTTTTTATGCACAAATAAACACTCGAGTCATCTATACGCAAAGGCAGAGATATAAACATGAAATCACCAAATACATCTTGAGAATCCATGCCGCGCTGGTGTTAACGTAAAATAACTAACTATCTCCAGTTAAAATCTAAATCTTTTCAAAAAGTTGATTGGACTGATCCTATGCTGTTACGAGAAAAATATATAGTAAAGTTTTATGTTAAGATAATGCCTATTCCTTAGTATTTTGTTAAACTCAAACGAAGTGTATTGCGAATGAAATTGGGTCTAAGTTTTCTTTACATAGTTCTCTAATTTTATATCTGAAATTTCACCGAAGATGCCAACCATAGTAATCAGTGACACTTACAATCTACCGACATTATTGAAAATATTGACCTTATTGTTTGGTTGTTGATTGAAAATATTATTATTGTTTTATTGACTTTTTATTTAAAACACTCTCATTGTATAGACCTTACTGTAATACAAATAGACTATTATGTCAATGTTGTTGTCCGCAAAACAGCAAGTGATCAAAATAGTTTTTCATAAATAGACAAAGAAAAGATTTTAATACGTCTGGTTAATAAAAGTGTTTTCTTTCTTTTGCACTTAACTGTTCTTTTACGCTATTGACTGAATTTCCATCATATCATGAATGAGAAAAAAGAGGAAAATTTTTAATCAAAAGAAAAGCAGGAGAAACAAAAAGTTCCGTCTTTTTACTTTTTTCCTTCATTCATCCAGTCACTCAAAACAATTAACCTTCAGAGCAGACCATAGTCACATCAGAAATATTTACACGAACGTACTGTAAATTATTTACTTTCCAGGTATATATTCTAATGCTACTATTAAGAATGAACGACTTTTTTTTACTTTCCCAAAGGAAACACTTTTAATGATTAAACAGCTCTAGAGGAACTGATGTAATTAGAGCTAGGAGTTAAGAAACGTATTGGTCATTGCATACACAGAGAAAGATGCTTGCCTCTCTATTTTTTGAATCAACTTGAAATGAAATGTCCTACCTGTACTTTTTGCATTTTCATCCAGTTCTAATGTTTCTGCATGACTTAAATCAGATGTAGAACTTTGTACCGAACTTTCATCGTCGTCTTCGATTTGAGGAGTGGGTGTATCATATCCCGTAATCGATGATGTTGAACTACTTCCACCATCAGTGGCTGTATAATACGATGATAATGAACGATCATTTACACTTGCGTAAGACGATGAATCGACAGCTAGTAAACTATTTGGCGGTAATGCTGAACGATACGAGTCTGTCGATGAAACACTTTTCGACGAATTTGTACGTGGTAACAATGTGACGTCTTGCGGTGATATACAACTGTTAAATGATGATACAGTCGAACGAGACAACGATTTGTCAACATTTTCTAGACAAAATAAAGCATAAATTAAAAAAATGAAGTGTTTTTTAAAATTCACAAAGAACAAATGTTGGAAATGGATGCGAGCAATATTATATACCTTTACGAATTGTCACATCTTTTTCTTCAGATAAATCACTGCTGATATCGAGTGAAATATTCTGTAATATATTATCGTTTTCGTATTTTAACTGTTGTTCATTCGGTATATTATTTTCCGTACTGGTTACAGGGGATTCGTTGTGTTTAGACATATTATTCTTCTTTCTCTCTGATGCGTGATGAGTATTGTTAGCTAACGCAATTTGTGGTCGATTGTTACATTGTCTAGTATCATTATTTGAATGATTTTTCAAGTTATTAACCTGTTTTAGTTGTTCCAAACTGTAGATAGTTGGCAACGTTCGTGGTAATTCTAAAATGAATATAAAAAGAAAAACAAAATAAAACATCAATCAATCACACCTCACTTTATTATTGTAACAGAATTATTTGGATTTTTTATTCCATGATTATAAGATAATAAACACCAGTGTGTCTTAATAAATACAGGTAAATATATATGCTTATATTTTTTTATCTAGAGTATTATAAATTTTTTGTTTCTTTCAATTATGTGTGAAAAAATAATATTTTCCTCACATAATTTTTAAAATAATATATACTCAATTTCAATAAATTTCTTATTTATATACATGAAATTCAAAAATAAAACAAAAACAAAATTTTACCGTAGTAAAAATGTGAACACCTTTCAAAAAAATCCATTTTTTAAATTAAAATTATATTTATACTTTTTACAATTTGACGTTTTCTATTTTTCTCAATCCGAAAAATTTGCTTATAATAGTCAACTACGGCAATTCTTTCGCAGTGTCTATAAATAAAAAATCTATGTATGCAAATAAGACGTCAATTTAAACTTGGAAAAATAGATTCACATGTTTTTAGTATTATGTGAATATATAACTAATTATAGAAACGTTACGATTAATTTCAATCCTAGAAATCTTCTTTTTTCAGAATATTGACACTATTCTGAACGTATCACTAGTGTGAGTAATACGTTCGACTTGTTAGAGTTTATTAACACAAAAATATCAAAATTAAACTTCAATATATAGTTTTCTTTTTAATGACTTATCAGAACGTGAACGTTTAGTGCAACTAATATTTTGTGTAATTTATAATGCTCCATCTACGTTTATTTCGAGTTATTTTTTATTTATTTTTTTAACTGAAAAATTTAACCTCTTCAAAATTTGACGGTCAAAATAGTATTTTCAATTAAAGTTTATCCAGTTGAAGAAGATATATAAGCAAGTTGATAGATGAGCGATCGTAAGTAGAGTTTTGAGTTCTGTACAAATAAGCGAGTATAAATTCTTTTCACTTTTCAGAACCCTATGTAAATAGTTTGACTGAAAACTTATTAATAAAACGTCGAACATATGCGTTCTAACTAGTAGCACATTCAGAATATTTTCGCTTACTTTCGTTACAGAAAAAATAGATAAATAAAATCTTTTTTATTATCGTACGACTATTATATAGATTTACAGTAAGAGAAAAATAGTATATTTTAATCTAACATAAAATAGTCGTTAGTTTGATTTTTTTTCATTATTGTACTGTATGACCGGAGGTGATGATGCTCTTCCCATGAAATAATTTGAACGTGCTAAAGGTCGTTGGAACACGATTTAATCCACTCCTCTAATGCATTAAAATCAGGAAATTAATAAGTGTGAACGCAGTTTTCATCGTTTCTTTTTCAAAATTACGTTTGACTACGTTAAGTTTCAGAATTTTGCCGTTTAAACGCATCAAATATGAAATATTGCATTACTTTCATATTTGATGCGATCTAACGACCCATTCGCTGCTTCAAATTATTTCGTCGATGACACAAATTTATGGTTCTTTAAAGGAAAAATATTGTCGAAGTTTTAGTAGATCGATTAAGTATTACAAACTAATGTTATATGCACAATTAAGAAGATTGACTGAACAAAGGCAATATGTTCTAACTTCTAGGTACTTTGCTGTAAAATAAGAGACAATAGGATCCTCAATGATTCTCATAACATATAACAGTCTGTTCTTTGAAGAAGTTTGATAGAAAAATATTTGTACTAAGCTCTAATTGATTAACATCTTGAGGTAGTGAGATCTAATTGGGATAGAAAAATAATCTCAGTTCACCTTACTGAAGTTACTGATGAATGAATGAATGGTCATCTATTAGATAATCACGTCAAATTTCTCTAGTTTACGTTGTTGTTGTTGTCTCGATGTTTTTTACATGATAAAATATCATCGGCATACCTAAAGTTTCTTTTTTATCATACGCGTAGGAATTCAAAATAAGAAAAAAGGATCATTATACATATTGACAAAATTCTTTATTCATATATATATATATATATATACATATATACACAAGAGAATGTCTATATACTCAGTTCTGTCCCATTCTGTATATTTGCTTAGAGCTTACCTACAAACTATGATTGTGATCGGTTACAACTGCGTGTGTTAGCTTTTTTTGACATATGATTAACAGGTCCTAAAGACCCAAGTAAAATAGGTGACTAAGACGAAAAAGAAAATATATTTTCGATTTTTTTTTTTGGCACTTGTCCATACAAAAATAATTTCTTTTTTTAATGTTATTATATGGTGTCATGTAGAAGAAGAAAAAATTGTCATGTATTTTTTGTCTTTTCTTATTCTATTCTATGTGTGATATCTATGCTTTTAACATTTGAAATATGAAATTAGGCTTATAGTCTCTGTCTACTGACTTTATTCTCCTTCTTCCTCAATTATACTCCTCCTTTTTTCTGTTCTGTTGTGCTTCCATTTATATTCGTATATAGAAGTTGTATTTACAAACTGTATGTATGCGTTCGGATTCTTTTTTTTTATTTTTTTTTCGATGTCAAAAACAAATATGGAAGCAGTATAAAAGTAGATATATATCTCGTAATAGCAAAATAAAATATGTTTTAGAGAAATCACGTTCACTCATTTTTTTTTCTTCTTTGCACGTATAAAGAAATAACTAAATTTACATTTCTATTGTGATTCAAACTACTTACATTCTTTAGAAGAAAGAGAGAGCCATGACGAAGACAATCAGATTAAGCGATATATGGCAGTAATAAATCGAAAATAAATTTAAGAAGCTAACATATCAATAAAATATAAACCATATGGATCTGATAAGATATCTGTATCATTTCACATCGTCCTAATTATATTTTATTTAAGATTAATCGAACCGCGCATCAGTATCTGTTAATGGTGTTAGTCAACTGAAAAAAAATATCTTATTAGAGAAAAGGAAAAAAGAAAAATAAACCAAGAACAAACACCAAAATAAAATTAAAAAATGTTGACTTTTTCTCCTTTTTCTCTATTAAAATAAATTACTTTTCTTTATCATAATGTATATATCAACGAAGATTATTTTTCATTTTCATTCAGTTCTTATACAAGATTTATTTACCTCAAATCTATAATAAAAAGAACGAACTATCTTCAAACTTTTGACCAGATTAACACGTTGCTGCTATGACTCATTTTCACACCAAAAATAATTTGAATAAGTATTGCACATTTCTGTAATAGCTTTTGTCGCTTTGAGTGTAAACATCTAAGGGTTTTTAATAAAACACCTTATATAAAAAAAAGTAATGATAACTTTTTAATGATTTGGAGTAAAAATTGCCTTTTTTTTTGCGCGCTATTTATTATACTTTTCTATTTACTATCAATTTGTAATTAGCTAGAGAGTTATGACGGACATGTACTGTAAATGAATATTTTCACACACTTCTTACCTTTCGTTTGAGAAATAGACGAATTCCACTGTTTATAATGATTCATGCCACTTATTGGTGTTTTTATCATATTTCGAACTGGATTATATTTAATTGGATGATTATTTGTTGTTGTATTTTGTTCACCTAGAGGTAATTGAACAGGTTTATACCAGTTTGATGATTGGGCAACACGTTGTTTTCCTGGAATATACATTGGTACACTACGGCGACAGAATAATTCAGATGATGATTCCTTAATTGAATTATGTCCCGACCACGATCGTGTTGGACTATTAAATGAACGTTGACGACAGTTTCTTACAAAAAGTTTTGGTGAGTTTGTATTAGAATTTGAATTAGTATGATCACCATTAAAATTATTTGTCAATGTTTGACATCGTCCAACTGTTCCATGTGATTTTGTTTTTCTTAATTCATTTGGTGGTGTAGCCACATAATCATGATTAAACCATTCGGGTAGTTGTAATTTTGTTAACGAATAACGTAAACGGTTTTCATAATCGTCTTGTTTCCAACGATCCATTTGTGTTGTTTGATGACTTGTTTCATCTTGTTTTCGATGAGTGGAAATAACCATTGGTATTGTTGATGATTGTTCAGGCGAGTCTACCCTATTAACGATTATTGGTTGAATATTAAATGTTCCATGAAAATTCTTTCGAGTAGTGCCATCAATAAATACAAGATTACGTTCATCATCATTAAAACATGAAAATATTTCATTTTTATTATTATTTTTATCATTTAACTTGTACATATCATCAATAACATCAAATACAATTTGTAAATATTTACTTTCTTCATGGTTCATTGTTCACCATAATTGAATATGAAGTGTTATAGACGGTGTTCATCGGTTTTCAAAATGTTTTATACATAGTTGATGTGATTGAACATATACACACGAACAGTGGCGTTTAGATTCAACACTATGTGCCAAAAAAAAAAAACTGTGTGCGTGACAAGTATAAGATATATATATCGTTTGCGGAAGTTTTTTTCTCTTCTTCCTCTCTTCGTATATACACAATAAACAAGGTCGTCGTGCTCAATTATGATCCATAGTTGAGAAAGATCTCTCTCTCACGTTCGCTCTTTTGTACATATATAAAGATAAAAACACTATCGAAAAAGAGAAAGAAGACAAATGTGTGTGTATATATATGTGTATTCAAAAGCTTGTTATATATGGAGCTTATAAACTACACACGTTCGATCATGATGTTGTTCAATGAGAAAAAGAGAGGGAAGGAAAATGTTCGGTTCATCCTTCGCCTATGTTCAATATTGACGGACGAAGTTCTGTTTAAGAAAACATCTTTTGATTATGAAATTAAAAAGTACTTGGGAGAAGGAACTATTAACAAGTTTCTTTTCTTTTTTCTCTCTACGTTTCGACATGGAATGATATATATATAAATATATATATATATACGAGAGATAAAAATGAAATAGATCTATGGGATTATTGAATGAATTTAATATGATCAACTTGTATAACCAAACAAAAGAACGATTTTTTTCTGCACTGTTAGGGAAGTCATATTAAATTGTATCGACATAAAATTCTTTTGTGGATAATTCAAGTACTAATAAAGTATGAAGCAAACAATACAACAGAAAATATCATGGAATAAAACTCAAATCTCATTGGGTAAAATCGCGTAAAATAAGTAGCAAATAAACATTGCGAATAGGAAAACGAATCAATGTGTTTTTTGATGCATTATATTGTAGATATCATTCTACATATTAGTATGAAGGGTGGTTAGTTACTGATATTGGTGTCTTCTCTGAATTATTTAGCTATGACAGTTGTTTTCTTTTTACAAAAATATCCTACCATTATCACATTGTCTTTTTTTTATTTATTATATACTTTTATATAACATCGGCAGGCCTCAGTTGCAAATAATAGTTCTCTCATTTTTACAGCACGAGTTCTAAAAAATGCATTATGGAAAGGTAAGTTGTACCAAACATATGGTATTTAGGTTCTATGAAAAATATTTCAAGATCAAACAGCTAAAATTCTTTCCTGACTTTACCATTGACTATTCTTGTTCCTTTGAGTAAAAGTCTAGAATCTCACAAGCGAAATGTCCGTTCTTGTATAGTATACCAGTAACACCTCCGTTTTGTACCGTACACTAGGGACAAAAGTGGATTGCCTTACGAAGAGCTCAAGGGTATTATTGATCATTCTCCCAACAATGTGGTGTTAACGTATTATCAGCCTGAAAGGGATTGACAGTGGGGATTTTGAGCAAAAGAACTGTCAGACACTTATCTAGATCGAATATTCTACAGTTCATATAAGAAACGAAAATGGTAAGAGCAAAATTCCGTTTTCGGTCATGCGATAATCCAAATGTAACGTTGAAAAAAAGATGCGTTTCAAATTAAAAAGACAATGTCTGAATGAAAAAAGATTAGTTTCTTCAACAGCAGAAGACTCATCTCATTTAATGGATCTGGACATATATTATTATAGCGACTATTAACGTTTTTTTGATGTTGCATACTCATTAACCTCCTCGGAACTGTCAAAAGTGTAAAGCTTGAATAAATTGAGCTTAACAACGGCTTATATAAAGTTTGTGTATTTATTCTTCGTGTTTTGATATCATTAGCAGAGATATTGAATAGCTTCGGAGTATTTTATAGAGCTCCACTGACCATTAATGGCATAAGAACCGCAAAAATTCCAATATCCCTACCATGTAGAGTAAAAAAAAATTACGTAGAAGCCTCCAGTTGTCCACTGAAGAAGGCATGCAGAACACAACTTTTTAAGAGTGTCAAGTTCTGACATCACTTGCACTGACGGAACTTTGTTCTTGTTTTTCTCTACATTCACGGAGGTTATACTGACGTTGGATATCCCAGAAGAAAGAACAGCTCGAATAGTGCAAGTACTGATACTACAGGCTTACCCTGCAAGAACAGGATATCTGTCACAAAATGGCTAAAAATGAAGAAAGACACTCATTATTTCATCTCTTATCCATGCAGAATAAGACAGAAGGTTCTTTCAGTATTTGAAGTATGAGCTATAGTTATTTAGCACATATCACGGTAAGGGCGAACTTGGGCACTATATAACTTATGTATAGTAGTGATCAGTGTCATGAATGCAGCCATCAGTGGTATTAGAATCTGCTGCCAAATTCTCGCTACGAGAAAAAAGTACAAATGATATCACAACCAAGTCTCTTTACTGTATTATCACATCTAATCATACATGTCACACTTGTGGGCATGGTAAGACAACATAAGAAAGATCTTAAGTATCTTTAAAATATATTTTATTTTGACAACTTCGAGAGCAATCCATACATTAAGCACATCATAAGAACAACATTTGCATTAAATGTCAACGTGTTTAATCAATCGATTGCCCTAAATATCCTACCTACTCATTTATAATAACTTCAACGGTCATCCTTGCAAAACCTTTCGTGATAACACAACATGTATATCTGTAATATGTTACAGAATATACTTATTTGATTTCCTATCATACAATCAGTGACTTTTAATCTAAATACTTGACTAGTTGCTATTAGTTCTATCAATGGCATCACTAACATTCATTTCATTTTAAATATTATTATGATTGTATTAGGCAGGTTAGGTATTACATCAGTAATAAGCATGAACAATATTTTTCTTCGTATGTAGTCGAAATAAACGCATTTCAGGAGATTAATCAATTGAGTTTGAACAAGTACATAACACGTCACAGTTTGCTATTCAGACAGCGAAAGAGATATATTCTATTCTAGAGTTGAAGCGCACTACACTCGACATGTCATTGGAAAACAATGAATTAAAAATATTCAGTATTGTCGATGGGCCTTCAGCTAGCTTGAAGATAAACAACAAAATTGATCGTTTTGAAATGCTTGCGCAGAACACTATTAAATACTGATTTATTAAACGGTATAATAGCTTAATTCACATTTCTGCATAACATCTACTATGGTATACTGAGCTTTGTTACTTGAAACTGCGAACTCATATCATCGATAGATAAATAAAGTTCATTTAGAGTTGTAGAAAAGTGCTTTTTCGTATTCAGCACACTTGATAATCTAGTAGATTTTCTATTTTTGACGAGAGGTACCATCAAAAGTTTAAGGAAAGGTTTGAAACTAATATTATTTTCCCTCGAAAATTTTTTTGCGCCATTTTGTTCGAAAAATTTTCCGAAGCTTTTGACAGTAATCCTCGCCAAAAATAGAAAAGCTACTGGGTTATCGAGTATGCTGAATAGAGAAAAGCACTTTTTCACAACTCCTAAATGAACTTTAGTTTTTTCGTCACGGTGATATGGCTCTCTAAAAAAAAGCAGTAACTTATAAAACAAAAACAAATCGGTTTTGTACGAGGAGAAAACCGTTCAAAAATATTCTACGAAACGATTAGATAGAACTGTGCGATATCGATATCGGTTTCTATTAAAAGCAGCTGCCAAAACCAATGTCCGTTTTGTAAGCTACGAATTTTTTTTTATAGAAATAGGCATGTATCAGTCAAATGATTATCTATAGCTTATTAGAACTAGTTAAGAATCATTTCTGTAAGACGCGTGGTGTTCAGGAAATAAAGTGTCCCAGAATCTCGATCTTATATATGAGCGGGACCAAGACTTTTCGGGCCCGATCCCGGTTCTGTAAAGTTGTTTCGGTCCTGGCAAAAAAACTGTTTTGGTTCCAGTCCCGGAGCGTTTTTTTATGGTCCCAGTTTTTAATAAAGTTTGCATGACGTGGGATGAAAGCTCAATGCCTAGAAAAGAACTGTGAGACTTCCCGACGATTTTCTACAACATTTCTATTTAAGTATGGAGGAAAGGCCAAGTTTTAGCTGATTTTACGCAACTGTCAAAAGAAATCTTAGTTTTCATCGAGAAACTTCGACTTGAGCTTGATGAAAAGTGTTACGATTCGGTAGTCTAATTGGATTATGTCTGCTGATGCCTGATCTAGAAAGAGGGAAGAATCCTTTAAAACTTTAAAAAAAGGGGAAGATCCGGAAATATTTACGCCTCACTGGAAACAGAGAAAGGTTTAATTTGTTCACTAGGTCAGATCCTGCGGTATTGAAATCCCATGTGATCATATGTGCCACTAAACGTTGAAGAGACTCTAGAGGGGCACTGTTATTTGCAAAGTCACTATCATATAACGCACGTCGTATGTTCTCAACTTTATCCTCAGCACCAACAGCTTGCATTTTCGGTAGAGGCGGAGGAGGCAAAGTGCTGGATTAACGTTTCTCTCTATAAAAGAAAATTCATTCCTTTATATCGAATTTATTAAACAGTTTCTAATTCAACCTTCAAAATCGCTCTTATGTTCCCTCCATTTTTTTATCTATGGCATACATTTACGATTTGTATCATTATTGTCTTTCGTTATGGATTGAGTATAACTATATATGACTTTTAAACAGCTCAGCTTCGACATTTTTTGATTCACTCCATAAATTCTGCATAAAACGTTACTGATATTAGACAAAGTTTGAGTTTGTCAATCTAAAGCATTACTGAAATATAGCCGAAGTCAATTTCATAGAAGGATGCTCTACTTGTCAAATCTGTGCCTGTTGTCGATTCACTGTTTTTTTAAAGAAATCGTTCCCCAGTTGACTATAAAACTGTTTCTATATATATCTTTGACTAATGCACTCTTACTGAGAGAACTAATAGTCATTGATAGTGTTCAGTTTTTAAAAATACCAACATTAACGTCGTCGGTCCGAAGAGGCTGAAGAAAACGAAGACCTTTTTTTTTGTCCCAAATGGTATGTTTTGCGTTTTGGTTACTGGAAAATTCTAATCTTTCAACTGGAAATAAAATCGCATCAAATTTGGGATTTTGACGATAAAACTTTTTTAGAGGTGAAGTAAGAAATCGTTAATAAATGAACACCGTGTGTGTATAATTAGTGGATTTTTAGCTCGGAGAAGTGTCGGTATGCTCGAGGAAAATGTGGCGAGAGTTAATTTAATAGACGAAATATCTTTACAACTGTATAGGTAAGCAAAACGAAATTTAAACTGCAACCTATTTCTGACACATAAAACATATCTGCAGAGATCAGTTCTCAAAACTGTGAATTTTTTCTATTTGATTCATAATGTACCAATATTCCTGCATAATTTTGTCGATATGGTTTTTTGTTTGATATCATCTTTCAGGGTATTTTTGTTATAAGTTGTATTTTCTTACAAGTTCTGTTTATGGGTATTTGGGGCTTGCTAAAAACGTTGTTTTGGTCTCCCAGCTGATGTAGAAACTGAGAAAAATGACTTCTGTTCTCCTAGCAAAATTAATGGGTTCGGCGCCACTTTCAGTGCTAGTTGTACGTACAGCATACATGTCTCACTGGGTAAGAGTCGATTTGAAAAAAACTATATTTTCGTAAATAGGACAGCTTCTATTTTATGTCCTGAAATGTTCAGGTCGTTCTGAGATACCTTATTTCCTGAACATCACGCGTCTTATAGATAATGACTCTTACCCGCTGAGACATGGATGCCGTAAGTATTCATATCTTGATATAAATCGATGATCAAAAAAATGGGTTAAAAAGTATTTTGATATGCTAGAACTGTAGAGCTCAAGCAGCTGATCATTTTTTTTTATAAAAGATATAGGGTGCAAAAATCTAAGCTTGAGTCAGCCATGTTATATCAAAGGAGACCTATATTGTGCACATTAAAACCTTCAACAAAAACGTCAATATGAAAACGAGAACAAAACGATATTGCCAGAAAAACAAAAAAAGTGCTAAAGCACCTATAAGACCTCTGCCACTTTTACAAGACCTCAATCATATTTGTAGATGTTGGCGCAAACGAGTTTTGAAGGCTTTAATGGTGGGAGAACTCACTACAGTCTCGGGTATGATTGTATTCCACTCACGAACAGTTTTTCTCAAGGGCAGTATGTTCTCCGTTTCTTCAGCAAAATTTTTAAGATTTGTATTAAAGAGAGAAATATATTCCTTAAAGCTTTGAAGAATTTCTCATGTAAGATTTACGAGGCATTGAACTTTTAAGGCTGAAGTATATTTCAGTTTTCTCGTCACTTTAAACTTGGATTTTAAGAAACACAGCTTTTTATGGGTTTTCTCACATTTTGACTTCAATTATGACCACCAAAAGCTGCGTTTTCAAACTTTTAGAAGGCTGTTTTTATTGGAATCTTATATCTTGTATAATCCTATATTATTGGAAATTTTACTGGAAGTTCAAAGTGACGAGAAAATTGAAATATACTTCAATTTTAAAAGTTCAATGTCGTATAAACCTTACATGGAACATTCTTCAAAGTTTTAAGAAATATAGTTTTTGTCTCACTCGCTAATACAAACCTTAAGGCCCTTAAGGTTTGTATTAAAACGTTTATCGGATAAACATTTTGTATATTGTAATAAATGAATTGTTCATTCAAATCTAGATATTTTATTTTTTATAGCGGAGGATGAAGAAGCCTGATTATAGACCAACAGTAATACCGTTATATTTAAAAACTTCTTCCTCAAACCGAAACGTCTCATCTTCCTTCATTATTAGAAATTTTAGTCTTCCTCAATACCTTTCGTCCCATCAAATATCTTTTTACACATCGAACTCGCCACTTATTTGTCCGCAAACAAAAGAGTATGAATATTGATTTTTTAGTTAATAACGTCAATGTTCACTTTGAGGTTCTCTATAAGTGCAAAAAGACTCGTTTATTAACGACTATACGATCAGTTTATGTATACGTAAAAGAAATGTTTTCTCTATCGCGCATTTAAAATAAATGATATTAGCACAACATTTGTTAATCATCGTCAACCATCAATTCTGTTTAAACGGAGCTTGTTTGATGATTGCGAAGCACAGAGATAGGAAAAAGTGCAGTACATTTACAAATATTAGTGCATAGTATTAGTAAATTCTTCCATTTCAATAATATCTGTATGAGGTTTATTTTCGATTGAACAATCGGTTATCATTACCACCGGCAAATTGAATGTTGTCAGTTTTGTACTACACATCGATAGGATCTCTTCATGTTCGTCATCATTCTTCAATAATTGATATTTCTTTTGAGTACAAGATAATGGTAAACAACTCACAAAAGGATTTGCAACAACAACACTTGCTGTTGAGTTTATTTCATCATCTATGACTATTTTATTACTATCATCTACATTGTCGACAATATTTGTACATAAATCCTGATCACTTGATGAAAAATCAATATTCAATGGATTGTATGATTTGAGATATTGTTCGATCATGGTCCTATCAACTTTAGCATTCTCCTCCACAATATCGTGAAGTTTCGATTTTTCACAATTTTGAAATGCATTATTATTTATTCCTTTGTTTAACTGATAATTTGCGATTGATCGAGTTGTATCAGATGAATGTGAAAATGAAATGGTATCATTATCTCGAACAAGAAATAAGGGTAATTTTTTATTTGCATCATAATTCGTTGAACGTAACGTAGTTGTTAACGTTGTTATTGTACTACCATACTGATATTTAGGATTAGATATAATGAATGCATTGCATACTTTATCATTTGTATATGTAGACGACGAGTCATATCGATATCGTAAACTTTTAAGTGCCGAAACAATACGACAAGAGAAACGGCCGAGTACATAACTTGTTCCTATTAATATCCAAACTATTACAATCTAAATAAAGAAGACCATATGCTCTTGTCAAAAAGTTAAAATTGACTGATCTTAACACTTACTAAAATTAAAATCAATGTACTTCGTTCAAATATACTGAGACGATTTAGTAATGAAATTCGTTTAGAAACAAATGATGGTAGTTGTTTAGTTCGTTGATGATGTTTTTGTTCAATAGTAACATTTATGATCATTGAATTAGATAAAATATTCGATAATGTTTGAATAATACTGACATTATTTTTTAACAATTGGGAAGTATTTATGCGTTCAGACATTGAGACTACTATTCGGTGTAAATCAAATAGAAAATTATTTTGTTGTTTTACATCTGAAATAGCGTGTAGATTGATAAAAATAGTTAGAAATACAGTTCAACGCATTAATTTACTTAATTATAGGTAGAGATAACTCCACACTATTGTAATATGCCGCTAATGTTGTTGGATGTGTAATGGATAAAATATATAGTGAAAATATAATTGCAGCTATTATCCACATTGCTCTTATTTTTGCATGAAATATCTAAAGGGTATAAGGTTTTCTTTCAGGAATCAAATTTATAATTCATATATATTTTTAAGCTAATTTTACTTGCTCTTTCTTTTTTCTCCCTATCTACATATCGTGCGCATTCAAATTATTTCTAGTGAAACACGCACGGAAATAATTTTAGAATGAATAAGGTCTGTGCAAACACAAAAGAATAGACGAAGAGAAAGAAAATGTGTACCATTCAGGTCTAATAGAAGAAAAAAAAGTTTTGTTGATTTCAAACTTTTAAAATCAAATTGTAGAAAGAAACAATTGTCGTAAAAAAGACTATGAATTCAAGAATATCTTCAAGCATCTCAATTGATTTATAATATCTCTAAAAATTTCCGCAACCAAAGAAATAATGAAAACTTTCTTGGAAAAAATTGAATTTGTTCTAGAAATGTGCAATTTATACTTAATATCGAACGTCATTTCTCACTACTATAATAAATTAATATTTTATAATGTACTGTACTTTGAGGATAGTTCTTATCAAAGTCATTTAAACGCACATACCTACTTCAAATATTTTTATATATGTCAAACAAACTCTATTCCGACTTATTGCTTTTTGATGAATCAATGTTATCGTGAAATCAGAAACTCTAACTTGTTTATTTGACATTTGTTTGGTAAGATCTCGTTCTATAGTCAAAATATGTCAAAAAAAATCTCTCAAAGATTTCTATACATATACATACAAAAAAACATTTTGTTTATCTTTTTCTCTCTTGCACTTTTTTTTTTGCTCCGATTTGATGACATCTCTCTTTTCCTCTCTCTTGAGAATGAAATTATGCATATAATAATGAAAAAATAGTTCAATGAACAAAAAAGAAAGCGTTTATCTTCTTGTTTGTTGATCATTATCATTATCTTTGGCTAGATTAAACGATTGTTCACACTTGATACTCATGAAAACCTTTTTTCCAGTGCACCTAAGACTGTTTTAAAATAAATATAGGATCATCATCATAACACGGAAATACCATCATTTTTTTGTTTGTGTTTTTCTCTCACTATCTACTTTGTAGTAACTTGACACTTTATTTCTCTTTTCTTCTCTTTTTTCTTTCTTTTTCTCTACTGCTATTTTCTAAGTAAAAAAAAATCTTTTTATTACACATACACTTATACATTCAAGAGTGTAGAGATCATCATCTCTATTTTCTCATTTTACTATTATTATTATTTTTAGGAGGAATGCACTTGAACAATTGATTGAAATAAGCAGAAGCAGAGAAAAAAAAAGACAATTTGTTTTTTTGTTGAGATCAAATAAATGAATGAATCTATCAATAGAAAGAAGAAAAAACAACATTATTTCAATAATCTATAGATGATGAGATGAGCGTTCAACTGAATGAGTCTGTCGTTTTTCAAAATCAAACATTTAGAATACAAGTTTCTTTGTACCAGAAAATAGCAGCTATTGATGCTGTCAATGTCAGATTTTACGAATGAGAGAGAACAGGACGGATTTATATTATTATTTGATGAATCGCTAGACTTCGAATATAATAGACAATCTAGGCATTCTTGGATACAGCGATCGAACATGGTCAGAATTTATTATGGTATGAGTTCCAAGAAATTTCAAAATACTAAAAAGGATTACATTCACTATATAAAAAACTGAATTATTTTACAGGTTCATATCTGGTTTCTGTTCGTTTTCCTTGAATAGCATTGAAACTGTATCGAACACCTCCAACAGCATTTAATGTAGTCTTAATCCAAAATGTTCTATTAGGCAACATTTCAAAGCCTGATGCTCCCCTCTTAAATTTCATAAACAACATTCCGCCAACCAAATAGGTAGTTACTAAACATATTAATATAATAACTAAAACGGCACCAGCTGTCAACCCTTTTTTAACAGTATATTGACATAGACCAGGACAAGCACAACGAGATTGAATGGAAATTATATAATGAGTGTGGTCCGGTTGTTGACCACTGAATGTGTCACCACCTTCTTCTCGACACGTTAGAAGAACCTGTACTCGTATATCACCACCGTCTGTATATTCAAGAGATGATATATGCTGGTTATACTTAAATATAGGATTGTCTTGAATAGCAATTAAGTATGACTTTTTTGTCTTAACATCAGCTACAAGCACATAAATGAAAACACGTTATAATACTCTATTATATAATAGGTTGATCAACTATAGAATAATGTTTTTAAATATATCTGACTTTTAATATCACTCAAGCATTAACGATTAAGAAAGACATATTGGTAAGCATCAATTATTAGAGTTGTAATTGATTTGTATGTTTTAAGAAAGTATGAGTGTATGGGGGTGTTGCGACTTACTTTCACATGCCGCTGCCTTATTGCATGTGCCACCATCGTTGAGTTTAAATGAAAAACATCCGTTCCAGCTGAAAGTCGACGTTGAACCAGGCGTTGAATTTGGAATTCCACTATACTTTGCACTATTCGTATTACCTAGCGTTCTAATATCTAGTTTTCCACTATCCGTGTTAAATACACATTTTGGACTCTTGGCTGATATAGATGGAAGTTGACTAGTGCTTATAATAAGGTTCAGATGAAGGAATATAAACAAAAATATTCGAAACCAGTGAATCATTGTCTCCTAAGTCAGCATACTCCTAAGTCAGTGTTGATCTAATAATTCATATTATTTTTTCTCTCTATTCTGTTGTTTATTCAAGGTGACGTATTAAGATAAGAATCTTTTTTTTATGGTCATTCAAGTCCAATGAAAAGTAGGGTGTTTACTTGGAGGACATTAAAAGATCTCATTTATCATTAGCTCGTTATTAAACACTAGCTAAGACAAATTAAAAGATATTAAACAATAATCTTTATATGCTTTTTATACATCACATATATTTTGATCAAAAAAATTTTATTTCATTTTGCATTATGTATTTATTCTTACATAATATTTTTCTTATACTTTCATACTTATAAAAATTCATTATCTCGAATGAGTCAAGATCATAAAATCATTCGTCATTGCATACACACACACACACACACACCAAACAGATGATAACAAAAATCAAACGAAATAGGAACGAAAAGAATGATCAACAGTATTCATGGGCTTTTCTAGTGTTTTAATTATTTTTAATTCGTGTCATGTTTTTTTTTTTTCAATAAGTATACAAAGAGCGAGAATAAGTATTCAAAGGGTATACAAAGTTTTTCCAAAAATCCACATAACAACAAAAACTCTTTTGACTCAATATGATCTGCTTCTGAAAACAAAAATCAATGAAATAATTAAGATTAATTCTAGGTGGATATAGATGATGTAATATTTCGAGCTCTTCATAAATTTGTTTTTACTTTTTTCTGTTGTTTTTGCCGCAAAACAGTAATTTGGACTATATCTGACATCTGTACAAGAACGCAAAAAATCTGTCAAGCAGTAAATAGACTGGAATAAAACGAGACACTATTTAAAATTTTTGCTGTATTGTCGTATTTTTCAGCCATTTTTGTCGAAAAAGCTTACTATTGACTGGTAGTTTTTGAGTTAGATTCAAAATGCGGAGAGTCCATGTGTTGAGTTAAAAAGAGACAAAACCACCGGTCAATAGGAAGTTTTTCGACAAAAAGCGGCTAAGAAATAGCGAAAATTTTAAATAGTATCTCTGTTTATCTCAGAGAGTACTCTAAAGCTCATAAGCCACTGTGAAATTTAGTAATACAGAGAAGTTGTTAAGCTTTGATGCTCAACTTAGGAAGCTGAAGCGTTCTAGGGGTCGAATAGTATACAACGTGGCTATAGTTATGAAAGGATTTCTATCTGAAATACGATATACATTTCGGAATGTTGTTACTACAAATTGAATCATGACTCGGATATAATATACATTTTATTGTTGTACTTATTAATTCTTTCTTACTCCAGCCGTTTGAACTTAAGCCTCACTAAACGTTGACTTATCAGGCATTGTCCAATGACACCGTTCTTTGTATCTAAACTTATAACAGCGTTAAAAAAAATGTCTTGCTTGTGGCATCGCTATTTGATCGAAAATCTTGCACATTAAGAACTGCGAATTTTGATTTCAAAACTTGCCAATAAAGAATTCTAAGAAAACATCGAGGTTCTCATAATACGTCGGGCGTCGGAATGAATACTCATTTGCTCATTCATTGCTTTTTGTCCAAATAATCAATGGAAACTAAATCAATATACAAGAAAGTGGCTAACTGGGATATATTTCTATGTAATCAACGAACAATAAATCCCTAGATAAGAAAGTGGTTAATTGGAATATATTTTTATGTAATCAACGGAAAGTAAATCCTCCATAGCAAAAATTATACTTTTCTATAGAAAAAAACTAATTAAAATACAATTAATCAACGAACAGTAAACCGTATACTCGATTTAGAGCGTAGCAATTTCTTGAACAGATTCTTTTTGTTTCTTTTGTTCGTAGTTTACTTCTGTTTATTTAATGAATTCCAGTTACTCTAATTTAATTTTTATGTGTTGTTCTCTGTTATGCTGATGTGATAGATAATTTAGTTTCTCCTTTGGTGTCTGATGTTTGGCATAGTAAGTCTAACAGGAAAAACTCCAAATTTTTTAACTGCACCACGCAGTTTTAAAGTGCAACATTGCACACCTCAGCTATATCAAAACTGAGAATGAAATCCTTTTCTCGATGGGAACCGTGTTTCGAATCGAATCAGTGGCACGACATCATAATAGAAACATCTCGAACGTGAAACTAACCATGACTGGAGAAGATGAAGAGTTGAAGAAACTCACTGAGCAGTTAAGGAACGAGGTCACAGGCGGCAGCAAGTTGAACAGTCTAGGTCTACTGTTGCGACAGATGGGTGAATACAGAAAAGTAGAGCAGTACTATATTATGTTGCTGAACGAGACTTCTGCAAACGATCCTAGCATCCCGACATTTTACAACAATCTTGGACTGGTTTACAGTGGTATGGGTGACTACTCAAAGGCGTTGAGTTATTATGAAAAGACACTGGAACTTGAGTTGAAAACACTGGGACCGAACCATCCATCTGTGGCTGCGACATACAACAATCTTGGACTGGTTTACATTGACATGGGTGACTACCCAAAGGCGTTGAGTTATTATGAACAGACACTAGAACTGGCGTTGAAAACACTGGGACCGAACCATCCATCTGTGGCTACGACGTACAGCAATCTTGGAGATGTGTACAGCGACATGGGTGACTACTCAAAGGCCTTGAGTTATTATGAAAAGGCTCTAGGAGTTATGCGGAAATCTCTTCCGGCTACTCATCCTTCTATCAATGTATGTGAAACAGCACCAGCTGACATGAGTGAGAAACTGATGAGACGTTCATAACTTCACAAAATCATTTGATTATGGTGAGGTAATGTCGTTTAAATCAATTAATCACGGTACCTGTTATAGCATAGTTATTATTTAGAATCATCGATACCTGTGGACCGGCGCAGTTTGTAGAAAAACGTTTATGTATTTGTTGAAACAGAGGAAATTGTTACAAAAGATGAGCATTATGAAATGCCATAGATCTACGTGATAAATAGTCACTGGTTATATAACTATTTTGCATCTTCAGTAATCCGCCTGAAAGTTTCTTCCTTTAAGTTTGACGTTTCGTGCAAACATAGAATAAATCCCTCTGTACAAAATAAGACGTTCCTCAAGTCTAGATGACCTGATAATATAACTGCGTCGCAAAAATGTACCTCCATGCTCCAAAAAAGAGTCATTTTTTCTGCCTGTCTATTCGCGTATGCAGTATGCTTGTTAGAAGTTTCTGTTATCTATTCTTCTTTAATTTACAGGTCGTTCAATTTATTTTGAAACGATTTACATGCAGTTTTTCTTTACAAGTCGTAAAGAATAGACAATAGACAATTTAATTCTCTACAAGATTGCAAGAAGAAATTTTCTGTAATATGATGTTTCTTTTTAATGACAGACAATGATATTTTTAGATGAAGTAAGAGGGATCCTCAAGAAAGTCCATTTCCTTCCATTTTTCTGCCGTCTTAGCAACAACCAGTATTCCCTAGTTTTTCTGGTAAAAACAGTAGCAGATTTGTTTGTGAGTTACACAGTCTAATAGAGTGCAAAATTCTGCAGTTTTTGGTCTATAACCTAATGATTTGAACTTTGGATTTTATATACTGAAATAGTCAAAATTTTACTTTTTAGTGCTAGAAACTTCGGTGGACTTGGAAGTTTATGTATTAAAGCCACTAGCAATTGAAATAAATTTCCGTCAAGTACACTGTAAAAAATAGTCGTAGATTAATAAACTATCAAAAAGGGTTTATTGAGACCAATAAACCTTTTAAAAAACGCTTTTCCGTTTTTTATATCCAAAAAACTAAAAAGCGTTCGTGACAGATGC